GTATATATATACATATATACATGTAGGTATCCCTCCTCCTCCTCTTGGAGGAAGAGGGATCTTCCAAGGATCTCCCTCGGACGTCAAGTGACGATAGGCAGCCAGGACCTCCTGAGATCTGCAATCTGTGCAGTCGGCTCCCAAGAAACATAAGACTATGCTGCTGCCCCGCCTTTGGCTCCCCACGGCTCCGCCGGCTCGCGGGGCGGCAGGGGTCCTCTTCACACGTGCGGACGGATGCAGGAGAGGAGGAGGAGGAGGAGGAGGAGGAGGAGGAGGAGGAGGAGGACCAGTGCAAACCCAAGACTCATCAAAGATGTTGGAATAAACCTTCCCTCCCAGTCCCCTCGTCAATGGCCCCATACAGGGATTCATTTCCTCTGGGTGAAGTGCCCCGTTGGGAGACAGCCGCTTGAAGATCCTGAAGCGTGTCAAAACACCATTATCGGAACTTCAGCGCTACGAACCAACCAGCCTGTTGCGTCTTGGCAATCCTGAACCGTGCCAAAAAACCATTCCTGGGACTTCGACACCGCGAATCCGCGCGGGAGTCCGTGAAACTCTTGCAACTGTTTCCACGAATGCGCGCGGCTCTAAAGCGAGAACCACAGTTTGAAAAGGAACATCCCTCAAGCCGTGAAGCTCTTGCAATTTGTGAGAACGAATGTGCGCGGCGCTTAGGCGAAAACCACATTTTGAAAACCGCTCGCCCTCAATACGTTAAGCTTTTGCATTTCTTTAAAGCGAATGTACGCGGCGCAAATGTGAGAGCCACATGTTGGAAGCAACCCGCCCTCCATCTATGAAACTGTCGTCAACTTGTTGGCTTCAGGATCAGACATGGCAAAGAAATCTCAAGCGAAACGCCTGGCCCGCCCTTCCGACTGGCCTCGGGGTGCGACAGGAAGTAGCTATTTTCTTAGGACAAGTATTGTGAGACGAGGCGCTGCGAGCGGAAGGAGGATGAGCAGGAGCAGCAGCAGGAGGAAAGAGGACGACGCCACGTCTTCGAGGATCGAACAAGGAGGATCCCCATCACTGGCCCTGAGGGTCAGACGCCGTCAGCCAAGGCCGGGCTAACGGCGATTTTGCTTAACGGTGATGTTGGGAAGGGACCACAGTGAAGGAAATCACGAACCACACTTTTCTACACTCCCAGTCTGCGAATGGACCGAGCGAGCACGACACGGCGAATTGTAGGAAAGCGCGAGCCACGCGTTTCCACAATACCGAAACCTACATCGCCGCTACCTACATCGCCGTTAGCCCGTCTACGGGTCAGGCCGCCGCGCTCCCGCTCAATTCATCCGAACTCTTTGCGGAAGAGGTCTCTCCCGCAACGGGCCAGCGGTTGCACCACCTGGACAGCCCCACGTCCACCTTGGGACGCACAAGGACATATTACGGTCGGGGCGTTGACCCCAGGAGCCCCAAATAAGGAACGAGGCACCTTTTTTCCATGAGTTGAACTTCGACTTCCCATCGAAAACATGAGGAACCCCTGAGGCAAGCCGCGGAACAATCAAGGAACACGGAGCCCCTCCCCAACGAAAAGGGTTCCTTCTTCAGGGCCCCGACCGTAGCACGATTCGTTGTGCCCCTGTTGAAGGCGCACGTCCGATCCGACTCGTGCAAGCATCCTGTAGCAGGTCGTTTCCCGACCGGTACGGCCAGACAGCGCCCGCCACCGAGCCTATAATTATTATGTGATTTCTCAGCACGCGCTGCGCCCCTGGGGTACGGCCGCACACGTAGTGAGCGCTTTCTTATTCGGCGTTTCGACTTTGAGCGGAAGGGGGGGGAAAAGGGGGGGGTCTGGCTCCAGACCTCTGCTCCGTGCGACTGTTTGGAACCGTGCGCCCTCTGGGGGAGGCTCCACATGCTTGACACAGGCGTCAAAAGCAGCCAAGATCTACTCCATAGGGGGGGGGGAGTAGGGGGGGTGCGAGGGCCCGCGCCCATCGACAAAACGATGAAGAAAAAAAACGATGATCACACAGTATAACGTATGTTTGGGTGATGCCGAGCACCTGGTTGAGGCCGGCGCACTCCTTGCGCTCGCCGGCGCAGTCCTCCGGAGCGGCGCCCTGGTGGAGCTTCCACCCCGCCGCGCAGCGGTCCAGGGTGAAGTGGCGGACCATGTCCTGCACACAGCTGCCGCAGTCGGCCGAGCACCCGCTTGCCGCGCTGCCTGGGCACGAGCGCACGACGTAGGAGCTGTCCGTGCTGTTCCGCTCCAGCCTCCCCAGGGAGAGACTCCGATGCCCATCCCTCGCGTGCGCGCAAGAGTAACCCTAGGCCCTGGGCAAGAGTGACCTTCGGTGCGCGGCTTCAGGGGGCCACGGGGGGGCCAAGTCCAAGCGCGACAGCCAGTGCTGGGGGGCCCCCTGTGTGGGCCCGCACCAAAGGGCACTCCGGCGAAGGGTCTCACTCTTGCGCGCCGACGAGCTCCTGAGGACACGTTGGTGCTCACATCCGCCCTCTGGCACGGGGCAGCACGTGATCACCGTGTGCGCGTGAGTCGGCGGCGAGCGAGGGGGTCAGTGATAAGGAGAAGGCCTTCTCAGAAGGCGGCGGGACTTCTCAGAAGCCCTCGCGCCTGCTGGGAAGCCTCCTGCGTCTTCGGGGAAGGCTCTTCTTAGGAAACCTCTCAGAGGGCCGGGTGGATGTCCCAGCCTTCTGGTTCTGGATTCCCAGGCCTCTCTATATCTACCACCCCCCTGCCGCTCGCCCGTCGGGAGGCCATCACTGCCCCCGGAGGCCGTCGCAGCACCATGTCGCCTCCCCCCCTTTCGATTCGGCCCGAAAGTATGAGGAGGTTTGGCGTGCAGGAGGAGAGATGGAGGCAGGAGGAGGCCGGAGGACTCGCTCGGAGAAGGTAGGAGGCAGGAGGAGAGTGAGGAGGAGGCAGGAGGATGGAGGAGGGAGACTGGCAGAAGGAGTGAGGTGGGTGCGGAGGCGGCGGAGAGCGCGGAGAGTGAGGAGGCGGAGGGGAGGAGCGGGTAGGAAGGAGAGGAGTGAGGGGGAGGCGGAGGAGGAGCGGGAGGAGGAGGGACGAGGCCGGGAGAGGAGTCGACGGAGGAGAGGCCAGTCGTCGCTGTGTTGTGTGGGGGGTTTGTGTGGTGTGGGGGAGCGACGGGGGTGGGGTGGGGGGTGGGGGGGCGGGAGGGAGGGCAGGAGGGGGAGGAGAGCGGGAGGAGGTAGGAGGAGGAGGAGGAAGGAGGAAGGAGGGAGGAGGATTGGGCAGGAGGCGGAGGAGGAGGAGGGAGGAGGAGGAAGGCTAGGAGGAATGGTAGGAGGAGGAGAGCGGAGAGGAAGGAGGAGTGAGGGGAGGAGAGGCTAGTGGAGGAGCGAGGAAGGAGAGGAGGAGGAGGAGGAGGAGGAGGAGGAGCAGCAGGAGGAGGAGGAGGAGGAGGGGGACCCAGAAGCCGTGGGGGGATCCGCGTCCGAGGCCGTCTGGGGGCCGGCCGCGGCCCGCCCAGCCAGCCTGCTGCACACCACCTCGGGGGTCCTGCCCTCGGGCATGGTGGTCTGCAGCATGTACTCCAACCTAGAGGAAACAGAACTATGCACATACACCGATTCTGGCCAGGCCCATCCTGAGCCAGGCATCGGTGCATACGCCCTCCTACCTTGGCCAGGAAGGCATATGCACCGATCCTGGGTCAAGGATGGGCCTTGCCAGGATCGGTGCATGTGCATAGTTCTATTCGCCCGACAACCGCAGCGCGAACGCCTGGTATTGCGTCGGGCGTGTCCCCCTCACAGGGGGATTTTCGACGCAGAATAAGACATACCCCAAACATGTCCCAAAAAGGTATAAAAAATAATGCTCCAAAAATAATCCCCGGACAACTTTTGGACTAGTTTTGGGCTACTTTTGGGGCACTCTTTAGTTTTCGTATCACCCGGGTGACTCCAACCTAAGACCCATGGAGGCCCAACCGGAAAGAAGAAAAAAAATGGGGCGCGCCGAAGAACCCAGGGGGTCCGGTTTCCGCGGAGGAAAGAAAAAAACCCTGGCGATGGGGTTCGAGCACGGGGGTTACCCCCCCCTCAAATTCCGGAAGAGGAATGAACTCCCAGCCGCGGGGGTGCCCGCGCGAGGGGTCCCACCCCCCCAAGCGCAACCAGAGGAAGAAAAGCGTGAGAGCCGAGACTGTAAGTGCAATGCAACAACACCTTAATCGCGGTTGCACTAGGGATTTGTATTAGTACGGGAACAACTGAATTACAGCCGGTGAGGTTTGGGTTCGGGTTCGGGCTTATATATTGGAACCCAGTATATTGGAAACGCAATATATTGGAAACTCCATATATTGGAAACCCACTATATTGGAAACCCAATATATTCGAAACCCAATATATTAGAAACCCGATATATTGGAAACCCAAAATATTGGGAACCCAATATATTAGGAACCCAATACATTGGAAACCCAATATATTGGAAACCTAATACATTGGAAACCCAATATATTTGAAACCCATTATATTGGAAACCCAATATATTGGAAACCCAATATATTGGAAACCCAGTATATTGGAAACCCAATATATTGGAAACCCAACATATTGGAAACCCAATATCTTGGAAACCCAATATATTGGAAACCGAATATATTGGAAACTCAAGAAATTAGAAACCCAATATATAGGAAACCGACACAGCTGAAACTCAGTATATTGGAAACCCAATATATTGGGAACTTAATATTGGAAACCCAATATATTGAAACCCAATATACTCAGGATTCTTCCAAAAAATGAACGCTACATAAAGAACAAAGCTTTGTTTTTCATAATAAATTAATACATTTACAAGGAACGGCCGAGCTCCTTTTCGAGAGTGTTCCCTCATTGTTCTTTTCGTTTTGACAGAGATCCCTCCGGCTGCCGAGACGTAAAGAACAAGTGATCGCGGCACGCAACAAAAAAACAAAAAAAACTCTGGCAACACCGCCCAAGGAAAGAATGGTGGTCTTTCCATGTCTTTTCATATAAAAAACTTCACGCGCGATCGGGGACAACAGAAACAATGAGAGGGAGAAAACAAAAGGAGAAATACAAAAACACCCGACACGAAAAAAAAACACATCTGGCCAACTTTGGATCTGTACCGATCGCAGCGAATTGGGAGGGCTCGCGTGAGAAACTGCGCCTTCACGTGACCACTACGGCCGGAACAAGGCCACAAGAACATCGGACAAGAACATGAGATTCTCCGCGGGCCAAAGTACCCCAAACCATAAGGACGTCGAGGACGCCCTTCCGAGGTGTCCCCGACCTTCACTTCCGAGCCAACGCGCGTAAGTACGCATCTGGTTCAGCCCCCAGCCTAAAGCCTTCGACTGCACAGCCTGGACCACGCAACCCCGAAGCCCTGACCCCCCCCCCCGCCCCCCGAGACCCACGCTGTGTTCCTGTGCCCTGGATCTGCCTCCGCGCGTCCGTCGTCATCCACGAGCGCGCGGTTGCTGGAGGCAGCACGTTGACATCGAGACCGAAGAACATGGAGGGTCTTGCCCGCGCCGCGGACGCGCGAGGCCTGCGACCAGCTTAGTCGGGCTCTAGCAGTGGGCCTCAGCGCCACGTCTCACGCCCTGGCACTCATGCACGCGCGCGAGCTCTCGCCCCAACCCCGCGGCGCCCCAGGGAGCCTCGCGCGACCTCGCCTGCTCGCCCCAGACTCAAGGCCGCGGCCGCGCGGCCTGGCCCCCGCCACCCTAGGCCCAGCTCCAGGCTGCTGTTGCCCCAAAACAAGAACATGCGAGGGTGTGCGTCTCCGCGCCGCCGTCATCCACGAGCGCGCGGCTGCTGGAGGCGACGCATTGACACCAAGACCGAAGAACATGGAGGGTCCTGCCCACGCCGCGGACGCGCGAGGCCTGCGGCCTCGGACTCTGAGCCTTAGGAGTGGGCCTCAGCGCCGCGTCGCACGCCCTGGCACTCATGCGCGCACCCGCCCAAGCTCTCGCCCTCGACCTCATGCCCCAGCGAGCCGCGCGCGACCTGGCCTGCCAGCCCCAGACTCAAGGCCGCGGCCGCGCGGCCTGGCCCCGCCACCTGAGGCCCAGCAGCTCCAGGCCGCTGTCCCCGAAAAACAAGAACATGCGAGGGTGTGCGTCTCCGCGCCGCCATCGCCCACGAGCGCGCGGTTGCTGGAGCCAGCGCCTTGACACCGAAACCGAAGAACATTCGAGACCCAAGAACATGGAGGGCCCTGCCCGCGCCGCGGGTGCGCGAGGCCTGCGACCCACTCCGTCGGGCCTCAGCAGTGGGCCTCAGCGCTACGTCGCACGCCCTGGCATTCATGCATGAGCCCAAGATCCCGCCGAAGCCCCTGCGCCAGGGAGCCGCGCGCGACCTCGCACGACCGCCCGGGGCGCCAGGCCGCGGCCGCGCGCCCTGCCCCTGCAGCCCTCGGCCCCCCGCCTCCAGGCGGCTGTCCCCCAAGGACAGGCGAGGGCGCAAGTCTCCGCGCCGCCATCATCGACGAGCGCGTGGTTTGCGGAAGCAGCACCCAGACATGGTGACCGAAGAACGCGGAGGGGCCCGCCCGCACCGTGGACGCGCAGCCTCAGCTAAGCCGAACCCGCGAACGAGCACAGCCTAAGCTCCAGCAAATCCTTGAGCCACAATCTGGCCCAGCCCAGGCCTCAGCCTCAGCTCGCGCCCAAGCCTCGCGCTAAGCCTCATCCCAGCCTGAGACCCATCCTATACATCACCCCAGCCAAATCGGCCTCAGCCCGAGCCCCAGCCTCCGCTTAGCGCAATAAGAAGTCTAGCCCAAGCCACGGCCTGTGTCTAAGCCGCAGCCTTGGTCAGCCCAGCCTGAGCCTCAGCCTGGCCGAAGCCCAGCCGAAGTCCAGCCTAAGCTGCACATAGCTTCAGCTTCAGCCTGAACCCAAGCCTCAGCCCAGCCCAAGCGTCACCCAAAGACTGGTTTGAGCCCGTCCCAAGTATAGGCAACAGCCTCAGCATAAGCCTCAACGCCTGCCCTGCTCAGCCTAAGCCCAAGCCTGGGCATCAGCCTAAGCCCAGACTAATAAGCACAGGCTGAGGCATAGCCCCCTCAGCCTCAGACTGGCCCCAGCCGCAGCCTAAGCGTTGCCCGGCCTCAGCCCAAGCCTCGCCCTCAGCCTAGCCCAAGCCCCAGCACCAGCCTGGCATGAGCCGCGGCCGTAGCCCTAAGCCAAGCCCCAGCCTAAACGTTAGCCTCAGCCCAGCCGAAGCATAGCCTCGGCCAAGCCTAAGCGGTGCCCAAGCCGAGGTCCCAGACACTGCCCACGCCTCTGCTCGAGCCTCAGCCCAAATACGTAAGCCTAAGCTTCGGCATGACCCAAGCCGCGGCCCAAGCGCCAGCCTAATCCTAGTTTGGGCCTCAACTCGCCTAAATCAAAACGTAAGCCTGGGCTTCAAACCAGCCTAGCATGTGCCCCAGCCTAAGTCTAGCAACGTTCACGCCCACAGCCTCGGCCTCGGCCTCGGCCTGAGGCTAAGCCAAGCACTAGCCACGCCTAAGCTTAAGCCCCAGCGCCCGCGTCAACCTAAGCCGATGATCCAGCCTTGTTAACCCATGTTAACTTGGAAATCAAACTGCCCACTTCCAAGGGCTCCCTTTGAATTCCCCAGTCAACGCGGCAACTGTCCTATTGCTGGCGCTGCGGCGTTTCTCGCGCGCGCGCGCCGCCGCGCGCGCGGCGGCGCAGGAACGCGCGAGAAGTTTTGCGCGCGCTGTTGCAGAAGACATGCACCAGAAACCATGTTAACTTGGAAATCCAAGTGGCAACCGCTAAGGGTTCACTTTGATTTTCCAGGCCAACATGGCGACTCTTCTATTGCCGATAACGCGAAGCTCCGCACGCGCACACGCCGCCGCGCGCGCGGCGGCGCAGGCGCGCGCGAGGAGTGTTTGTCTGCGCTGTTGTAGAACACATGCACCAAAACCCATGTTAACTTCGAAATCCAATCGGCAACCACTAAGGGTTCACTTTGATTTCCCAGGCCAACATGGCAACTTTTCTATTGCTGATAACGCGGGGCGCCCCACGCGCACGCGCCGCCGCGCGCGCGGCGGCGCCGCCGCGCGCGCGGCGGCGCAGGAACGCGCGAGAAGTTTTGCGCGCGCTGTTGCAGAAGACATGCACCAGAAACCATGTTAACTTGGAAATCCAAGTGGCAACCGCTAAGGGTTCACTTTGATTTTCCAGGCCAACATGGCGACTCTTCTATTGCCGATAACGCGAAGCTCCGCACGCGCACACGCCGCCGCGCGCGCGGCGGCGCAGGCGCGCGCGAGGAGTGTTTGTCTGCGCTGTTGTAGAACACATGCGCCAAAACCCATGTTAACTTCGAAATCCAATCGGCAACCACTAAGGGTTCACTTTGATTTCCCAGGCCAACATGGCAACTTTTCTATTGCTGATAACGCGGGGCGCCCCACGCGCACGCGCCGCCGCGCGCGCGGCGGCGCCGCCGCGCGCGCGGCGGCGCGGGCGCGCGCGAGGGGTTGTTGTATACGCCGTTGCAAGACACGTACACCAGAACCCATGTTGACTTGGAAATCCAATCGGCAACCGCTAGTGGTCCACTTTGATTCTCCAGGCCAACATGGCGCTTCTTCTACTGCTGATAACACTGAGCGCCCCACGCCCCTGCGCCGCCGCGCGCGCCGCGCGCGCGGCGGCGCCGCCGCGCGCGGCCGCGGCGGCGAGGGGGGCACCCGAAGGCCAGAAAGC